CGTCAAATCTTTTGCAATGGACAAGCAAACTAGTTTGGACTCTGATTTTTGTGGGGAGATATAAAGTATTTAAAGTAGCTAAGTCCGTAACTCAATATCATCCAAAATCTTCGACATTGAAAACACGATTTTTTTTGCAATTTAAATCAGCATTGGTGTTGTGATCTTACCTGGAAAAGATGGGCTTCTGATATCCAATATTTAAGACAAAATAAACATTTTACCATTGGTACACGAATCGAATCGTGTACCATAATGTGTTTCAGCGCCATTTGTAACAAGGTGCTCATAAAAAGAGGCTAGACATATTCCACAAGTCATGGCAAACGGTGATATCATATTCTTATTTGGAGAGCATGCGCAATAAATAATATCAGCGTTGACTGGAATAATCAGACACTAGAAACTGACTTGGCGTATTTCGCCGAACATAACTGATAACAATTCACAGTAAAACGGACACGATTGAATGTAAAACAGTTTATATAAATTCATATTACATTATTATATGTGTTGCGACCCATTTGTGCCAATTTCTAGGTCCAAAATATTAGCGATTTAGCTCCTTTAATACACAAATTCATGTAATGTTTACATAGAAATATATTATGTTTAATACACACTTAGATACTATGTTTACTTAGTAATTTGTTATAATGAACTTTGTATTTGATACACACCTTGATACAATTTTTACATAATGATATAAATATTACGAACATGTCTCATATATATCTGGAAGCAGTATTTACAAAGTAAGCCCGGTTTTCATTTGCCCAGTCGGAGCAGAACAGTAGGACCTTGAATCCCATTTCATTTTATTTACAAAGTAAGGTATTATGCTAAATGTTAAGTTGCCACCTCCTTTAATAATAAAATCTTTGTATTTTGATAAACACTTTGATACAATGTTTGCATATACATTGATATACTGTTACACAGTAAAATTGTTTGATTCTTATTCGATGCATGTCATTAACACAATGTCTGAAAGAGTAATGTATCAGATATATTCTTTGATACAACCTTTACGTATCTAATACATAAATTGATATAACGATTATATAGAAACATATCTGACTTTGTACTCTTGATGTATTCGATACATATTATATATTATGCTTAACTTAAACAGGCATTAGGCTGCGATTGAATACATTTTGTGATGGATAATTTAGCGAAAAGATGGGTAAAGACTTTATTTATTATCGAACCAACGTTAGTAATGACGATCGAGGCTAGCCTAAAATTGAATTGCTAATATCTCGGTTCAGGGTGAAGCAATGTGACTGAAATTTTCAGCATATTCTGTTTTCATTATATATTTTTGAACTATTACAGTGAGTACTGTCAGCTCTTTATCTAATCTTTCCTAATGCTCCTTTAATAGTTAATACAATGTTAATATACTAATGCTATGTTGAAGTAATTTGACACATTTTAGATACTTGATACATTAGATACAGTTATTACATACTAGTATAATATACAGTTGTTGTATAGTAGTATATTATGATGGACTCTGTACTTGATACTTTAGATAAAATTGTAAATTATGATTGACTCTAAGGATAGGTTGCCAGGCAATGAAACGTACACCCACAGCAGCTAACTCGTCCGAGCAATTAACAAGGGTTGTCACCTATTTATACTTTTGTAGGTAATGGAAGCACAAGACACTGATATTCATTTCATACAGATCTGATGATAACTTTTGTTGTTCGAGCATTCACAAGATTTTACAAAGTGAAACAAGGGCCATAACTCTAGAAGTAATAAATAATGCACATAAATCAGATGATAATCTTTGTCATTAAAGTGGTCACAAGGATTCCACTTTCTTCAAACTGAAACAAGGGCTCTAACTATAATCTTTTAAACAGAAATTGTTGAAATTTGATAGTCTTCTCCGTTTTAAATAATTTAAATAACGCACAAAAATTTAAAACAGATCACAAGATAAATTTTGTCGTGAGAGCATCCACAAGCTTCTACAAAGTAACACAAGAGCCATGAATTGTTAAAAATTCAATATACTTCTTTGTTTTACAAATTCAAATGTCTATAAATTTCATAAATATCGGATGATAACTTTTTCTGCAATACCAACTGTCGATAATGGAACAGAATTTTTGTAGAAATACAGGAATAAACCATAAAATCACACAAGATGATAAATGATAGAGTGACTGGTTTATATTCGTAACAGATTTGATTCTTTTTTTACTTTCAGAGCCAAACAAAGAAATAATGAAAGACACTTTAAATACTTTAGATACTATGAAAAGAACAGCTGTAGAGCTAGCTACCAGCACGGCCATATCATCAAGGGATAATATTGGCTTGTATGACAAACGAAGAGATGTTGATTTAAATAATTTTAACATGGGAATCGGCAAAAGACTGTGGAAATTAAAAGAAATGGTGAAAAAAATGGATACCCATCGATCGGGCAGAAATATACTTGGGATTCTGAAAGATAGTGTGCACAGTAACCTATCGGATCTATTAAAACATGCTTTAGATGAAGATCCACCAACGAATTATAATTTCTCTGCTTCAATATGGAAATATCCACAAGATTCTACAATATGGAGAAATCGTAAAAACAAATATAATCGTGCACATGACTCGAAACCAGAAGAAAGCGTAACTGGTGAAAACTTAGATCCCATCATGCAATGGATGGGAATTGGACGATAAAATGGTGTTGAAGAGTGGATAGTAACATCTGAAAGCTATATACACTTTATTTTTTATATTGGTCCTGCTTATTATATTCATTATTGAAAGTTGAATGTACATGTAAAACATGAGGTGGGAAATTGTAATTTTAAGTCACATGATTCATTGCAGCCAATAATTATAATTAGGGCTATATTAATATGTGTTACATTTATCTATTAACTTTTGTCATTTGTAAACAGAGCAAAAACCATTAGGATACACATTAAAGTTTTTGTCTGAAGTACTACATTAAACACAATATTTATTGAATATAAAACTACACATATTACTAGGGTTATCTTTATAAGGGGGGGGGCTAACACCGATTTAATAGACATTTCAGTCTTTCCAGTTGATATCTGGAACTATAGAACATCGCTAACGCTGGAAATTATGCACCAAATTCAATAGTTGCCGTCCTCAGGGTATAAGGAATAAGTATACCAAGTTCCAAGATAATCCATTCAGAATTATGGCATTCGGCCACTAAATACATAAGTTGGGAGTGACTGCCCTTGGGGGTCGGGACATGCACCAAAATCAATAGTTGCTGCTCTTAGGCTATATAGAATACATATGCTAAGTTCCAAGCTGATCCATTCAGAATTGCGGCCTGTATATGATAAACACAAAATTTTGGTGTGGCTTTGCACCTGGAGGTGGGGACATGCACCAAAATCAATAGTTGCCTTCCTTTGGCTATAAGGAATATATATGCCAAGTTCCAAGATGATCCATTAAGAATTGTGGCCTGTAGGCAACACACAGACACACAAAGAAAAAATGGGTGTGGCTCTATCCTTGGGGGTCGAGCATTCACCAAAAACCAATAGGGATCATCCTTAGGGTATAAGGAATAGGTATGACCGTTTCAAAAGGATCTGTTAAGAATTGCGGCCTGTAGGCGAAACCCAGACACAAACAAAAATTGGGCGTGGCTCGGTTCCAGGGGGTCGAGCATGCATCAAAAATAATAGAGGTCATCCTTTGGGTATAAGGAATAAGTATGTAAAGTTTCAAGACAATCAGTTAAGAATTGTGGCCTGTAGACGATAAAGAGAAACACACAAGGGCGACGGCAATATGTGGACGTATAAAAATGTATTTGGAAATATTTCTGCAATATTACAGAATACTGACAAATAGTGTCTTAGAATGCTTCCAGATCAACGTTGTATATATTCAGAATAGCCAGTGGGGGGGGGGGGGGCAAGGGGGGGCATTTGCCCGCCCATTAATCTGGTCTGCCCTCTGTTTGCCCCCCCAATAATTTTAGAAAATAAAAAAAAGTCTTTGTGATACGTTTCGGTAATCAATACCTTCTACGGTGAATAAATCCCACATCCCCACTTAGTCATAAACTTGCATGTTGTAGAGCATTTCCGACAGTCTATTTTTCAAAATTTTCTTGGCGAGGTACCCAATGGACTCGCTACTTTGGCGATCACAAGGGGAATTCGTCGGATAAACTAGTGATCAGTCGACGAACAGTATCTGGGCAGATCTATTTATCTCGACGATCGGTGCCTGACAGAATACTGTAAGACAGCATTTCTGGCAGTCTATTTTTCAAAATTTTCTGGGGGAGGACTCCCTACTTTGACGCTCGTGGGTGGGCTTCGTCGTGATTCGCAAGTCCGTTCGTTTGACACTTTACCTCATCGATCAGTGCCTGAAATACTGCCAGGCTGCATTTCCAGCAACCTGTTTTTCAAAATTTTCTGGGGGAGCCCCTTACCCCAAGTTGAAGCTCGTGCCTTTGCCCCCTTAACCTTCGACTTTGCCCCAGCTTTGCCCCTCCAATCACCGACGGCTGGCACCGCCACTGAGAAGAGCCCCAATCTTCCAATGACTCCTGAATAATTGAATCCAGGCAATTTGAAAAGTTGAATCCATCTGACTGTTTTAAACTTCTCTGTTTCTTTAAGGTATGTCAGTGTATCAGGGGTGATTCACAGGCAATAATAAAGACACACATTTTACCATTAAATGGTCACTAAACATTTCTTTGTTTGAACTGACATTACATCACAAAAGAAATTAATACACTCACAATGTAGTATGTACCAGATATAAATGGAGACAATTCAATCTATTTCCACTAAAAACCACTGTATATTCAACCACTTATATCAATGTGTGTCAGATCTATATTATTGTTGTGCAATTCCCACTAACCTTTGTACACTATTTGAAATTGTCTCGGCAGTTCTTGTGAAATCAATTGAAATGTGACAGCAAAAGGAAGTTAGGTTGTGGGGTAAATAAAAAGCTAAAATCTAAAGCCTTTAATTCGTGACAATTAACATACATTTTGTACACATTTTTACAGAACACATTTCCTCACAATTTAACGTCGTTTTTTAGTTTTTGTACGCCTTTTCTTATCAGCACTTGTCAATGTCTTTGATTGTAAACGTCCAATATTTGTCCTTTTTTTATTATTAACATGTTCTTCTACTAAACTGTGTAATAAACCTTGTTCGGCTAACATTGATAAAAACAGAGTTATAAACTCATCATAGTTATGTGTTCTTCTACAGTCATCAATCTGTAATTACAAAATATAAATACAGTAATATAATAATTCATTGGCAACTCAACATCAAAACTAATCTGATAAAAATTAATTGTCATCAAGGTTCAACAAAATGAAACAAGGACCATAACTCTAGAAGTAATTAAAGGAAATTGTTGAAATTCAATAGGCTTCTTTGTTTTAGTCATCTTAATAATGCATATAATTTCATAGATATCGCATGATAACTTTTGTTAATTGAGCTTTCACAAGGTTCAACAAAGTGAAACAAAGGCCATAACTCTAGAAGTAATTAACAGAAATTGTTGAAATTCAATAGGATTCTTTGATTTAGTGATTTTAATAATGCATACAGATCGGGTGATAACTTTTGTCGATAGAGCGTTCCCAAGGATAAAAAAAGTGAAACAAGAACCATAACTCTAGAAGTTGTAAACAGCAATTGTTGAAATTCAATAGGCTTCTTCATTTTACTAATTTAAATAATGCATGTAAATTTAATACAGATCAGATGATAACTTTTGTAATTAGTGCATTCTTCATCTCACTGATATAAACAATATATATAAATTTTAAACTGATCAAATAATAAATGTAGTCTGTACTCTGTAGAGTGTTCACATAAAATTGTGGACAACAGATGGATGGACGGACATAGGCAACAGCAATATACGACAACATTTCCATGTGGGCGTATAAAAACATTCCTCCCAGTCAATATGCCTACAGAGTAGAAGTAAAAAATGTATATAGACAATAGGACTGCAAGTTGCCTTCAACCATATCCAATGAGGATGTGTATTAATTATTACCTTGTATTTTTTTCTCTTTTCATTTTCTTCCTTGAGATTTGTTTCACAGGTATTAATCTCCTTTTCCACATTTTTCAACAATGACACTAAATCCTATTGAAACGATATATAAATGTTGGATTACGTGATTATATGATAGAATATGCAAATCTGTACAGTATTGACCTTATTTGTATCCTAATTATATCAGTAGAGGATGTTTAATATATTCACCACAATGACATATAGATGAAGACATCCTTCAATTGTTAATATATGAAGAACAGTGTAAAAGTAATCTCAAATAATTCCTATATCCATGTGGAGACAAGTACTCTGTTTAAATAAAATATACATTCAAGATATGTTGCCTGGCAACTAAACATGCACCCACAGCAGCTAAGACCTCAGAGCAGTAGACAAGGCTTGTTGCATATCTATTCTTTTGTAGTTAAACAAGCAGTTACCATGCAAGAGATGGACAGAGAACAAGCTTAAAAAAAAATGATAGGTTGCCAGGCAACGAAACATACACCCACAACAACTAAGTCGTCCGGGCAGTCAACAAGGGTTGTCACATATTTTTTCTTTGTCAGTAATCAAAACATTTACAACACTATATTTTGTCTCATGACCTTAAAGGAGCTAAATCGCTAATATTTGGGACCTAGAAATTGACACAAATGGATCGCAACAAATATAACAATGTAATATGAATGCATAAACGGATTTACATTTATTTGTTTCCGTTTCAAATCAGTTATGTTTGGCGAAATATGCCAAAAGTCTCAATCAAATGGCAATCTCTAGCGTCTGGTTATTCCAGTCTACACCGACAGTATTTATTGCGCATGCTCTCTAGATATAATACACTATTTGCGTACATGGAGCAGCTATTTTTTCGGACAACTGTGACAACTTTCATCAAATTAAACAATCATTTAGGTGCATAGAACTTATTGACTTAAGCTGCTTTTGATAATATAATGTTGATTTTTCAACCCTGTATATACTTCTGTTAAGGCACAAACTGGCTATGATCTAATTAAACATCTAATTAATCCCATATGTCATTTACAAACAACATATGATCTGTGTTCAAGCTCTTCATGACTTCAAAGGAATACACACTGGTCAGTAAGCATACGATGACGTGATAAAGAGACAATTGCATGTATGTTCATGAGTATTACCTATTGTCGGAGTGTATATCAGCAGGAGTTTATAGACGTCTAGAGAGAGGAGAGACGCAGATACGAGACAACCAGAGACGAGCTGGGAGGAGAAGAGAGGCTTGGACGAGTGCATGGTCTCACCTGAGTTCAGCTGCTGCCTTGGCAGAGGGGCGAAATGGTGGATTTAATATAGTTATGTACCGTCCTGATGTGTTCCTGTGGTAGTCTAGTTCCTGTATTGTTTTGTATGTAGATGTCTTATATTCTGTTCTGATGTAAATAAACCCCATATGTACTAAACTGATCTCTGTTATCACTAAGGTAGTGTTACAGTATCAGTTATAGATGCCGTAACAGTGAACCTGAAGATTAATCGTCACAACAGCGAGATTTTCATACAAATCGGATGATAACATTTGTCGTTCGAGCGTTCACAGAGTTGAATAAAGTAAAACAAGAGCCATAACTCTAGATGTAATTGACGGACATTTCTGAAATTCAATAGACTTCTTCATTTGACTAATCTAAATAATGCATATAAATTTCATATAGATTGGATGTTAACTTTTGTTTTTTGAGTGTTCACAAGGTCCAACAAAGGGAAACAAGGGCCATTACTCTAGAAGTCATTAACAGAAATTGTTGAAATTCAATCGGCTTCTTTATTTCACTAATTTAAATGACGCATATAAATTTCACGGAGACCGGATGATAACCTTCGTAATTCGAGCATTCACAAGGTTCAACGGGGTTAAACAAGGGCCATAACTGTAAAAGTTATAAACAAAAATTACTGAAATTCAATAGGCTTCTTCGTTTTATTATTCTAAATGAAGCATATAAATTTCACACAGATCATATGATAACTTTTGTTGTTAAAGCGTCAGACGTGTCAACCCCCCGGTATGAAAAAAACAGGAGACCAGTAATGAAAAAACAGGAGAATCAAGGAGATTTTTTTCATCAAATACCTTCATTTTCATTCATCACTCGTGGGTTGGATGGCCGAATGGTTAGCATGTGCACGCTGCACTGTATCATACGGTCTATCAATGAGTCAACTGGCAGGATTTTGATTCCCCGGTTGTACATGACAAGGAGTAGGGTTGCATGTCCAACCTCGTGGGTTTTCTCCAGGTCCTCCGCTTTCCTCCCACTGCTAAAGACCCCTACACGCAAGAGAATTATTGAAAAAAAATTTAACCATGTGTTAGTCCCAAAATGACCTATTTTGTGTCGAGTGGACGTTAAACCCCATTTCTCTCTCTCTCTCATGCATCACTCTTTAGCACTATATACTGTGCACTCATTTTTGCTGCATACAACAAATGGAAATTCTTTTTCGGCTTCCGGTCAATATTTTTAATGACAGAAAAAATTTTGGGGAAAGCTTTTGTGAAAATATACATAAAATGCTACCCCAAACACTTTACTACGGCACTCCAGATAAGTGCTTTTCAGTCATAAAATCTGAGTGACGTCATAAGCGGTATAGAATCGCTTGTAGCATGGACCTTAAAATATTATATGGTTCATGCTCGTACCAATTTTAAAACTGCTAAAACTTATAAAAATTGTTAAACCAGCAGCTGCCAGGCAGTATACCCCCACATTTTCGAGAGATGGATAGAGAACAAGCTAACAAGAAAGTGATTTTTCCTACAATCAAGGGCCATAATTTAGGAAATTACAATTCGATATGGGCAAATATCGAAAGGAACTGAGATCTTTGTGTTATAAACTTACATTTCAAGTTTCAACAAAATCGGATAAAAATTGTGACCTCTATAGGGTCCACAACCTTGATATACAATATTTTTACGCTATTTGAGAACGAACGGCAGCCACTTTGTCTGTCAATTTTGGGCCGATTTTCACGAAATTCGAACTTAGTCGTCCTTAGGGTGTAACGGTGATATAATAATAAGTTTTTTTAAATCGGATAAAAATTATGACCTCTATAGGGTCCACAAGCTAAAAACTCGATTTTTCATACAATCAGGGGCCATAATTCAGGAAGTTACGGTCCGATATGCGTGAATATCGAAAGGATCTGAGATCTTTGGGTTATAAACTTACATTTTAAGTTTCACCAAAATCGGATAAAAATTGTGAACTCTATAGGGTCCACAACCTTGATATACCATATTCTTACACTATTTGAGAACGAACGGCGGCCATTTTGTCTGCCAATTTTGGGCCGATTTTCACGAAATTCGAACTCAGTCATCCTTAGGGTGGAACGGTGATATAATAATATGTTTTTTTTAAAACGGATAAAAATTATGACCTCTCTAGGGTCCACAAGCTAAAAACGCGATTTTTTGTACAATCAGGGGCCATAATTCAGAAAGTTACGGTCCGATATGCGCAAATATCGAAAGGAACCGAGATCTTTAGGTTATAAACTTACATTTCAAGTTTCAACAAAATCGGATAAAAATTGTGACCTCTATTGGGTCCACAACCTTGATATACCATATTTTTTACGCTATTTACGCTATTTTGTCTGTCAGTTTTGGGCTGAATTTCACGAAATTCGAACTCAGCCATCCTTAGGGTGTAACGGTAATATAATAATACGATTTTTTAAATCGGATAAAAATTATGACCTATATAGGGTCCACAAGCTAAAAAAGCGATTCTCCGTACAGTAAGGGGCCATAATTCAGGAAGTTACGGTCCGATATGCGTGAATATCGAAAGGAACTGAGATCTTTGGGTTATTAACTTACATTTTAAGTTTCAACAAAATCGGATAGAAATTGTGACCTCTATAGGGTCCACAAGCTAAAAACGTGATTTTTCGTACAATCAGGGGCCATAATCCATGAAGTTTCGATCCGATACATGCCAATATCGAAAGCAGCCAAGATCTTTTGGGGATAAACCTATATTTCAAGTTTCGTCAAAATCGGATAAGAATTGTGACCTGTAGAGAGTCCACAAACAATTGTGGACGGACGGACAGGGGCGACGGCATAATACGTCCACATGAAAATGTGGGCGTATAAAAATTTGAATGATAATATATAAAATATTTATATCAGATAAAGAGCAGGCTACATTTAGTCGAAAGTAGCAAATTTCAGTCTATGGCTGTGATCGAGTGAATGGAAATCCCCAGAAACGTGACGTCAGAGCGGTATTTTCCCACTAGTCTCTCCAGTACATAAATGGTAATTGCGCTCAGATTTCGGTAACTTTTGAGTCAGATTATATGCATATATTGTGATCGATATCAAAGTATTATAATACTGTCGCTAACTTAGTAATATAATGCAATGATAAAATAATCCAAAATCGCAGACTGAAAGTCAGCTAAATTTCAGGCTTCCGATTTCACGCTAGTTGCTAAAGTCACGTGGCATGAAATATTTTCTCTTCGCGGGAGAATTGTCAAAATTGCATAGATGTTTACTAGCCACTGGGAAAAATGACAGTAACAGGAAGAACCTTGTACTAACAGGTCTCTATTTTATCAGCTACACTCGTGTACTCTGCTACCATTATACTTTATTTACTTCAAACAATAATAATCACAAACACACATTGGGCTGTCAACCATACCACAATTAGAAGATTCTAGTCAAATTCAGCCAATCATGAGGTCGATTTATGAAACGGAAGTAAGGGAGTTATCTCCCTTTGTGAAAGAAAAGTAGCATTGGTACATGACCATTTTCCGTGAAATATTTTCTCCTGTGCGAGAAATCGGGAGAAGGGTTGTGAATCTGTGAGTCACACGGAAAAAACCAGGTTAGTTAGATGAGACGTCTGTAAAGCGTTTACAAGGTGCAACAAAGAGAAACAAGGGTCATAACTCTAGAAGTAATTAACAGAATTTGCTGAAATTCAATAGGCTTCTTCGTTGCACAAATCTAAATGATGCACATAAATTTCATACATATCAGATGATAACTTTTGTTGATAAAGCGTTCACAGGGTTCAACAAAGTGAAACAAGGGGCCATAACATTAGACATAATTAACATAATTTGCTGAAATTCAACAGGCTTCTTTGTTTCACTAATTTAAATAATGTTGTTAGAGCGTTCACAGGGTTTGACAAAGTTAAACAAGGGCCATAACTCTAGATGTAATTAACGGAAATTCCTGAAATTCAATAGGGTTATTGTTTCAATAATTTAAAGGGTGCATATAAATTTCATTCAGATTGGATGATAATTTGTGTTGTTATCGTGTACCAAAGCATCAACCAATCAAATTGCTTATCTCTGCTTAGTCTAGACTGACCTAATAAACATCTACACCAAGTTATTGTGTCCCAAAGAGTGTGACAGACAGACAGACAGATGGACGGACAGACAAACAGACAGGCGGGGGACAAAAAATAATTAATAGGCCTTAAATGGAAATAAACAAAATGGCCAATAATAATTTTCTTTTAGAGGAGAATTTTATTGATAGCAGAATTCCGTTTACTGTCGCTTCTTGATACGGCATGCAAAGTAAGGAATGCATATTGAATATTATTATTTAAAATTCTCTTATCATTATAGGTCGAAAAAATGAGACGATTCTCGAGTGGGTAAAACAGTCTGCGATTGTTTAATTCCCAAAGCCAAAGTGCACAAAAGCGACTCATATTTTGATACCGTTACGGTACCTGAAAATAATAATAGACCTATCGTACACGCAAAACCTTATTTTAATTCACGTGTTAAAAGAACATGCTACAAGTGTGGCAGCTTCTTTGATGATTACCCAATCAACAACCTTAATCTCCTGACCACTAGCTGGCACTAAGGTGCTAATTAATTGATGAGATTATGACTGAAGTTAATCTCACCAAAGTTATAATATACAAAACATAGACTACTAATGTATAGATTGTTCTTCAGTATAATACTATCATGTGAATATGCCGCATGTGTTGTGGATGTTTTTCGTTAATGAAAAGAGTGCATTTACTACGATTGGATTGTCGTCTTCAGTACCCTTGAAATCCTAAATGAAAAAAATATTAAACGACAAAATAGCAAATTAATGGCAGAAATTGTTGGATCAAATTTTTACTACAATTTTCGTCTTCAGCAGCCTGAAAATCCCTAGAAAGATATATTCAACGACAAAACAGCAAATAAATGGCCTGGTTGCTATGGGATTTTGTTTTGGAACATACCAAATTTTTCTCAAAACTTACTTTTGGGAGTTGGGTAGCTTCAAATGGACACAGCTCAGTCAATTTTTGCCCGATTCAAACCAACTATACATCAAATTGAAAGTAATGAGTTGGAGAATGTGAAAATGACAATAACTCAATTTTCAAAATTCCTCATTGCGACTCATTATGCTATGACGTATGGTGTATCTAAAAGGTTTGCTACCACTGCTCTAGAGCATCCACAAGAGTTTTCAAATTATTCAAGGGAGATAACTCTGGAAGTAATTGTACACAATCAATAGGATTTTTCCTCTGAATTAAAGGACACAAACGTTACAAGATTCATCCAAGTATATTTCATACCCAAATACTCCTATCTTGTAGAGACTTGTACACTGATAACTATCCACAAATAATGAATGAATAGGAGAAGTTTAAGTAAAATCAGAAACATGACGCAGACTATCAATATTTCAACACCACAGGAGAAAATTTACATTCCTTACATTAAATATGAATTTAAAGCATTCAAAGATGGGTATCACCTTCCTTAAATTAGAAGGTAATCTGTAAAACCAAATAAATTGATTGATTTGAAACTAAATATGAATGGAAGTATGGATATATAACATAGACATGATTTAAATATACATTATGCAAGAGATCTAAATTATTAATTAGACATTAATTAACTTATCCAGACCATAATCAAATCTCGATGCCATCGCTAGCCTGCGATATTTAGAGGATTGGAATACATTTTTTAAAAAACAAGCCAACAGTGAGGCTGATGTTCCCCGCTGAAATCCCAAAATAAATAGATGACACATATTAATTAATCGCACATTTATTTTTTTCAACAGTATCCAGCAATCAAACTATACACTAAGTTTCATCACGCTCTATCGGATAGAATCAAGATTATCTTGTACCAAAGCATCGACCAATGAAAATGATTAGCTCTGTTTAGCTTCAGCTCGAAATGTTAATCACTGAAATCAGTCAAGACATTCACCTAATGAACATTCTACCTCAATTAAAAGCAGAGTTGTTATGTTCCAAAGTCTTGACCAATCAAATTGCTTATCTCTCCTTAGTCTAAACAGAAAATTCTCATCATCGAACTTAGTCAAGGTAATAATATAATGAATCTATATTCGGAGTTTCATCGCTCTCACATCATTACAACAAAGTTTTCGTGCCCCAAAGCATCAACAAATCAAATTGCTGATCTCTGCTTACCCTAAGCAGAAAATTCTCATCTTCGAACTCCATCAAGGCATTGACCTAATAAACACTTACACCAAGTTTGAACATTCTACCTCAATTAGAAGGAGAGTTATTGTGTTCCAAAGTCTCGGCCAATCAAATTGCTAATCACTCTGCTTACCCTGAGCAGAAAATGCTCATTATCGAACTTAGTCAAGGTAATGATGTAAAGCAACTATACACCAAGTTTCATCACTCTCACTTAATTAGAACTAAAGTTATCGTGTCCCAAAACATCAACCAATCAAATGGATTATCTCTGCTTTCCCTAAGTAGAAAATGCTCATCCTCTAACTCCATCAAGGCATTGACCTAATAAACACCTACCCCAAGTTTTAATATTCTAGGTCAATTAGAAAGAGAGTTATTGTGTCCCAAAAAGTGTGACGGACAGACAGACCTTGTTTTTTATCCTACTGACTTTAGTAATGATGATCATGGCTAGCCTGAAATTCAAAAGTTAATATCTTGGTTCAGAGTGGAGCAATTTGACTAAAATTTTCAGCATATTCTATTTACGTTATCTATTATTTTAACTAATATAGCGAGAACTGTCAATTCTTTATCTAATCTCCCAAAAACAATATACAACCAAATTTCCATATAGGTGACAAGGCATGTAACAAATTACCTTTGGTTTGAATCCATTATGATTACTACTTTTATGTTTGTTTTTAAGAGATGCCATTTTCCCATCTCCAACATCCATCTTTTCTTCTGTTTGAGACTGATCAATAGTACAAGCATCTGAATGAAAATACAGTATCATGTAGCTTAGATGGACAGAGAACAATCTAAAAAAAGCGATTTTGTACAATAAGGGGCCATAATGCAGGATATTACAGTCCGACATGCTTCAATATCACCAGCGACTGCCAGGCAAGATACGCCCAAATTTTGCAAGGGATGGATAGAGAACAAGCTGAAACAAAAGCCATATTTTTACACTATTTTGTCTGGCAGTTTTGGTCCGATTTATTCGAACATTTTTATAAATGAGATAAAAATTGTGACCTCGGGAGGGACCACAAGATAAAAAGGTGATTTTTCATACAACCAGAGGCCATAAAACGTTTTTTTAAATCGGATAAAAATTATGAACTCTATTGGGTCCACAAGCTAAAAACGTGATTTTTCGTACAATCAGGGGCCAAGTTTCAACAAAATCGAATAAAAATTGTGACCTCGGGAGGGACCACAAGATAAAAAGGTGATTTTTCATACAACCAGAGGCCATAAAACGTTTTTTTAAATCGGATAAAAATTATGAACTCTATTGGGTCCACAAGCTAAAAACGTGATTTTTCGTACAATCAGGGGCCAAGTTTCAACAAAATCGAATAAAAATTGTGACCTCTATAGGGTCCACAAGCTAAAAACGTGATTTTTCGTACACTAAATGGCCATAATACATGAAGTTTCGATCCGATACATGCCAATATCGAAAGCAGCCAAGATCTTTTGGGGATAAACCTATATTTCAAGTTTCATCAAAATCGGATAAGAATTGTGACCTGTAGAGAGTCCACAAACAATTGTGGACGGACGGACGGACGGATGTCCGGACAGACAGGGGCGACGGCATAATACGTCCACATGAAAATCATTCAACAGAGAAATTTGTTTCCATGAAAACACTAAAATTATTAAATCCGAGAAATTTCTAATTAGTAAAAGGCACAACTACTATCATAGGTTAAAGTTTGTACAAAATTTCATGAAGATATCCTGAATGGTTTCTGAGATATGCTCTGGAAACAGAATTGTACACCAAAAACTAAGACAAATTTGTTTCCATGGAAAAATAAAAGATAGGTTGCCAGGCAATGAAACATACGCCCACAGCAGCTAAATCGTCCGGGCAGTCAACAAGAGTTATCAAATGATTTTACTGGTTACGGTAATGAAACATTAATAATACACTTAAATCTGATTAAGAGTAACAACTCATTAAGTAATTATCAGAAAATCATTAGAATTTGTTTTGTTTTTATAAAGTTCTGCCCCATGCTAACGTTTAGTATCAGAACATTTAATATCATGGATATAGCTGTTCAAGTTATCAAAATTCATTGAAAATCAATATATTTGTTCTTCTCTTAAACTCTGTGTATCAATCTGAAGTCAATCAGATGATAACTTGAGCCTCTGGAGCGTCACAAGATTTTTCAAAGTAATCAAGGGCCACAACTTTGGCAGTAATTATTGGAAATCGTTGAAAATAAATAGGATTCTTCGCCTCATGACCTCAAACACTGCATATAAATTTAAAGTCAATCGGATATTAGCTTTAGCCTCTAGAGAGAGAGAGAAATAGGGTTTACCATCCACTCGACACAAACTAGGTCATTTCGGGACTAACATATGGTTTAATTTTATTTCAATAATTCGCTTGTGCACAGGGGTCTTTAGCAGTGGGAGGAAACTGGAGGACCCTGAGAAAACCCACGAGGTCGGACAGGCGACCCTACTCCTTGTCACGTACAACCAGGGATTCTAAACCACGCCAGTTGACTCAATGACAGGTCGTATGATACAGCGTGCACGTGCTAACCATTCGGCCATCCAACCCTACTTTTAGTCTCTAGAGCATCCACAAGATTTTTTGAAGTGATCAAGGGCCATAACTCTGACAGTAATTATCCGAAATTGCTGAAAATCAATAGCCTTTCTCGTCTTATGACCTTAAACAATGTGTATAAATTTAAAGTCAATCGGATATTAGCTTTAGCCTCAAGAGCACCCACAAAATTTTTTGAAGTGATCAAGGGCCATAACTCTGACAGTAATTATCCAAAATCGCTGAAAATCAATAGCCTTCCTCGTCTTATGACCTTAAACACTGTGTATCAATTTAAAGTCAATCGGATATTAACTTTAGCTTCTAGAGCGTCCACAATTGCTTCAAAAAGTTTCAAAAAGATATCTTGAACAGTTTACGAGATATGATCCGGAAACGGAGTCGGGATGGATGGAGCCCATTTCAATATCCCTCCCTAACATCATTCTGCGTGGGATAAAAATAATTCTGTTAAAAAAACTTTAACCTCTATCTTGTTCATGAGGTTTTTGGTAAAGTAGGTATAACTCCGGAACCAAAGTTCAGATGTAAAACTCATCCAAGATGTTTTGATCCTTAACATATATTTTAAGTTTCATCTAATTTGGACAAAAATAATGGGCTCAAGAGGGTCCATAAATTCTGTCCAGATTTTGCAAAAGTCAAGGGCCATAACCCAAAATCAAACCCATTATAGATCTTTGGGATATAAACATATATTCTAATTTTCATCTAATCGAATATGTATTACATATTTTTGAACAATATTTAAAAATCAATAACAATTGTGACCTCTAGTGGGTCCAGAAGCTATGTATGCAATTTTCATACAATCAGGGGCAATAATCCAGGAAGTTATGGTCCGATAAATGCCCAAGTTCAGACATCTAGAGGAAAGGGGGCAATGCATAATACAGCCACATGAAAATGTGGGCATATAAAAAAACTGTTTATACTGATTCAGTATTACCTGAACTACTTGTTACTTCATTTAAGAACTGGGGACTGCTTTGACAAGATGGAATATGGAAACTTCCAGGAGAACTGAAACCACTGCCTGCTTCTGATGCTGTGTCAGTACTTTCACTACTTGGCCCTGACCCACAAGCAAATTTTGTTTCTATAGTTAATGGTTTGGTAACATCTGTTAAAGAAACAGTTCTTGGTATTGTGTTGGTAATGTTTCCATCGTTTTCATCTGAAACTGATATTTGAATTTTAACATTCTTTTCTTTAACACTTGATTCTGTCGTATCTGTAGATTTTCTGGCAGACACATCTGTCTCCATGGAAACATGTTCTGATACCGACCTAATGGAGATTGCGTCTGTTTGGTCCATCTTGTGATCATCAAGGGTAGATTCAACTTCTGTTTTAATCAGTGGTGTATTTACATTATCATTTAAAAGAGTTTTTTCATTTGATTGAGAAATGTCTATATCTTTTTGTTTGCTATATTCATTTGGTGATCCATTATCTTTGTGGATGGCTGTATTTGATGAACTTGTTACTTTCACCATCTAAGGAAATCAAAAGGAATTTCATTTATATATACTCCAGTGAAATATTTAATCCCCATCATCGGTATCCCCAGTGGTATCGTTACGTTCTACTCCACTCACCCCTGTGTCCATTTATGGAATTTCCACAAATTCAAATTATCTGCCCTTGATGATTTCATTGGCACGTAGGTTGATTCTACGAACCAATCACAAACAGTTTACATACCAGTCTTAGTGTCATTGTTTACGTTCACCACAATACAGCAGCTTGAACACTCAAGAAATTTAATATCAAAGAAGTGACATGCATAAAAAAAAATGTCCTCAAATATTTTGACAGTTTGCAACAACAATTTGAAGATATTAGTTGTAATATAATGCATGCAAGTTACTTCCCTTCACTTTGATTGTTCAATAACAATAACACAATTATCAAAGACGGATAATTTGACTGTGTCTCCCCCATGAATGGACCCAGGGTTTAGTGGCGTAGAAAAAAAACGATACCACTGGGAATACCGAGGATGCTTAATCCCAGCAGTTGCAAGAAAGTGCTCTCACAAGACACAACAAGTAGTTGCCACGCAAGATACGCCCATATTTTGCAAGAGATGGATAGAGAACAAGCTAAACAAAAAAGGGCGATTTTTTTATATAATCATGGACTATAATCCAGAAAGTTATGCTTTGTAATGCATGAATATTGAAAGGGACTGAGATCTTTGGGATATAAAGATATATTTAAAGTTTCATCAAAATCACAACATCGCCGATGCTGCGGCGATGCCCCAGGGGCAAAAATATTTCACAGAAGCTACAGGGAAGCATCCCCGGAGTTTCCATGTGGATCTGGAAAGCTCTGGGGATGCCTCCCCGGCCTGTTTTTCTGACAATACAAGTACTGAAGTTTTCGCAGTTCTCCCTAAGCCTCTCTGTGGTTCCACATGACTCATGATGCCCCAGGAGCTTCCCTGGGACCAGGGCTCATGCTGTCAGTCGCCAAAGTCGCAATTTGCGATAAAAATATGAAACAGACAATTTAACTTTGATAACGTTTTGGGGTATTGTCGATTCTTTTGGGGAAATGGCGGAAAGATTTTTTACAATTGTTATATCCTTGCTTCACCGTTACATATAAAAGTGTCAATCACTTCTTTTCGTTTCGTCTAAAGAAATAAATAACTGTAACTATTCAAAATGGCCGTCAATTCTTTTCCAAGAGACTTAAATATTTTGATAGCTGAACCGTGGATTCAAACGCATGTAAAATATACAAGCATGCCTAGTTGGATATCATTTTTTCACATAATATTATCAAGTGAGAAAACGGACACCATTTGCTTCAAATACATTACTGGCGCCAAAATGCTCTAAAGTGATCGATGAGAATAATTGTAAGCATCTCTTACAAATAATATTGAAATTTATATCATTCTATCAGGGATTCGGATTCAAATACCTTCATGGTACCTGAAAATAACATTGGCAATCCCTGGAGATTTGATGTGAATATACTGAAAATATATTGTGCAATATTGTGTGCAATTAGACTAAAGTTACCAAAAATAAAATCTGATCTTAGTAAATCATCCCAAAACTGAGCTACAGTAAAAGTCAGTACTTAAAAGTACTAAATTCTCCCGGCGTCCAACCTGGGCAGAAATGAAAAATCGCCGGGTTAGTCAATCAATCCACTTTGCACACACTCTAAATTCCGCTTTAAATTTCAACCGCTATTTTTTTAAACCATCGCGAACATCAACATAACAGATCCACCGCAAAATTTACAAAGTCAGACTTTTCACGCACGTACAGTCAATACATCCATATTTGGTGTGATGTAGGTTTATTTATAGTGCGATTGCACCACCGTGGTATCGTTGTCAATTATCAGCTATTATGGCATGCAAGACACAGATTTTACTGGCTTATTATGAAAATATAACTAATTTCAACCATTGGCAGTCTTAGTTTTTCAACAATGAAATAAACAGAATTATGCCTGTACTGATACATTACTTCATTAATACGCTTGACATTTTAAAGACTTGCTTTGATCGACTATTTCAAACTCATTCAAATTACGAAAATTTCAAAATTTGCACCCATAGATGCTGGTCTTACCGTGGGCGTAAGTTTTATCCATTACATAGCTATTCCCATTCTGACAAATAAGTTAAACAATTGTTTTAAATCGTTAAATCACACCTCAAGTAATATATCTTCGGGTTTAAATCACAAATGAATTAAAAGCCTTCGTCTCCTGTTTTTAAGTACACATTCGAATAATACCTTGATGACCTTTTCATTTCAGCATCAAAGTGTCTGAGTTAATGCATACTTTCAATCAAGTTTCAAAATTACGTGAATTTACACGTGCCATCAAAAGGAATCAATAATTGACTAAAATAGAATCCCCTTTAACATGTTGTAGTCTTGTAGACAATACTTTTATTGTAAATTGTCAGTAAGTGATCATTACCCAAACTTAAAGAACAATTACAATTGGTACGTGACCAATCTAGATCTTAACACAAAATAGGTGCCGTTGTCATGGCTAAATTAAGAACGGCCATGATGAAGAGCACATCCCCTCTCCCCTCTACAACACATTATGCATCACCAGTTTGTTACAAGATATTCTATTAATATTTTTACGGTAAAACTCACACTTGAAAAATTGTGAATATAAGTGATTATTCAATTTTTGAATCGGTATAGACTTAAGTTTGGCGCATGCTTAATCATCATATTCTGCCAATAAAATCATGCTTTAAACCGGTGGTGAGAATTTCTTTAATTTGGCACAAAAATCATCCCTTATAACGCCCCTTTAACGAATGCATGCTTTGTTAGGCAATTTTCTATGTACACTTTGATGTGTAGTTTTTCGAGACTAATTGTCGCCTCAGTTACTACATTGTAATAATCTAACTTCCGGATAAGATTCAATTCATAAGATCAGGGTCCGTATTCAAAGGTTTTCTAAAAGTTAAGTAAAAATACTTAATTTTTCACGTAAAGATACATTATGGAAGATTAGATAAAGAGCTGGCAGTTCTTACTATAATAGTTAAAACTACATCTGTTGACATCTGTGGTCCATGCTAAAAATATACATATCAATATCGGGTTTTCACAGACCTTCAAATGGCATTATATGCAAATTTCTATGTATATACCAGTAGAACAAAAACAAGCCTGTCTTCGTTGATAGATCTCAATACCACAAGATGATATTGTATCCACCGCCATGTTTAATGGGATGTATATTGCCGTCGCCCCTGTCTGTGTATGTGTGTGTGTGTGTTTAACTGATCATCTTAAAACTTTACATACTTATTTCTTATACCCTAAGGATGATCAATATTGTTTTTGGTGCATGCCCGACCCCCAGGGCAGAGCCAAGCCCATTTCTGGTATTTGTTTGTCGTCTACAGGCCAAATTTCTTAACATATCATCTTGAAACTTTGTATACTTATTCCTTATACCCCAAGGAACATCCCTATTGTTTGTGGTGCATGCCCAACCCCCAGGGGCAGAGCCACACCCATTTTTTTTATGGGTGTCTGTGTGTCGCCTACAGTCCGAAATTCTTAATCAATTGTCTTGAAAACTTTTCATACTTATTCCTTATGCCCTAAGGATATCTATTCCGTATACCCTAAGGATGACCACTATTCTTTTTTAGTGAATTCCCAACCCCCAGAGACAAAGCCACACCCATTTTTTCTTTGTGTGTCTGTGTTGCCCCCAGGGGCAGAGCCACACCCAATTTTTGTACTTATCGTATACAGGCCGCAATTCTGAATGGATCAGCTTGGAACTTGGTATATGTATTCCTTACAGGCTAAGGGCAAGTTGCTATAATTAACAGGTTCTGTTCAAATTCAGCATATCAATCATTTTAATAACATTGTGGTACCTATTTATACTGTTCCAAATCCAACCCCAGGGGCCGAGCCACGCCCAATTTTAGTATTTATAATCTACAGGCTGTAAATCTGAATGGATCATCTTGGAACTTTGCATATTTATTCCTTATACCGTAAAGATAGCAACTATTTTATTTTGGTGCATGCCCCAACCCCTTGTGACAGTGTCACACTCACTTTTTTGTTAATATTTAGTCTCTAAATTTGTTAAAACAAACCCAAGCCTAGATTTCTTTGTCTCTTGTCATATTACTGTCATGGCAACTATTTCATATTTCATTCACTTCATTTTGAAAAGTACCATATCAATGAAAGCAGCAGCGTTAGCAATGCTCTAGTTGGGAGATAAGATAGAGGTTCTAATGGAGACAAATTAATTAGATTCCTTGACTATAGTTTGAATTATTATTGTTTTTAGATGGATTGAAATTATCTTTAACATAACAGATAAAATAGCTTTGCCTAGTTTCTCATATGAAAATGTAGAAATATGATACTTCTTCCAATCTTTTTCACAACATGTCTAATTTTCACATTTCCCTTCGATCTTCACATTCAGTCACTTGTGTTAGTTTATGTAGTTTTTGTCGGGCAGTGCCGGTTGGATTGTCACAAACTTCATACTCAACCATCATTCAGGTGTACCAGTGATATATATAAACGTTTTTTAAGATTAAGTAAAAATTGTGACCTGTCCACAAGCTAAATTCGCGATTTTTTGGTAGAATCAGTGGCCATAATCCAGGAAGTTACAGATCGATATGCGCAAATATTTAAAGGATCCAAGATCTTTGTGATATAACATAAATTTAAGGTTTCATCAAAATTGTGACCTCTGGAGGTTCCACAACGTTCATATAACATACTTTTACACTATTTGCGTATGAGGAGCGGCCATTTTGTCGGTCAAATTTTCGCGAAATTCGAACTCACTCATCCTTATGGTGTAACAGGGATATATTTGAATGTTTTTTTAAATTAGATAAAAATTGTGACCTCTAGGAGGTCCACAATCTAAAAACGTGATTTTTCATACAATCAGGGGCCACAATTCAGGAAGTTACAGTCTGATATGCGTGAAT